CATGCAAATCAAAATTTAAACGGAAAGGCGATTGAAAGATTCACAAACTAACACATTCGGATATTTATCTATTTGAATGTAACACTTGCACTGCAAAATTTAAACTTAAATACAATTTGAAGTCATTTATTATCACACTAAAATGAGAGGAATTTTAAATGCAACATATGCCATGCCAAATTTAAAGCTAGAATTTGTTTAAAGTGACATTCAATGACCCATTCAGCTGGATAAATGAAAGTTTCAATTTAATGCTTATACAGGTGAATTAAGCATTAGCATTTTTTTCAAATTCTTTCATTTATTTTTGGTCAACAAATTTATCATTTGTAGCTTTAAAGTTGTATAGTTTGGTGTTTATATAAATAAATAAATATAATGATATGAAGAATTGTTTATAGTTTTTAACGCCCTAAAACACCACCTATGTTTTGTATTTAATTTGTAACTTTTGACGAAATATTCAAATATCACTATCAAATAGGATGCATTTTAATAGCTCTGTTAATGTATTTACCTACGAGCGTGCGGTAAAGTGCACTTTACCGCATAGTGTGCGGTAAAGTTAACTTTACAGCATAGTATGCGGTAAAGTGGACTACAAAGTGTGCGGTAAAGTGCTCTTTACCGCATAGTTTGCGGTAAAGTAAAATTTGATATTTTTAATCAGAAATCCTCTCTTTTTCAGAAAATGGATTTTTGATCATTTCTATATCAAATCTAATTTCATTAATCAATCTGATTCAATAATTAATTTTATCAAAGCCTTTTTTTAAAGATGTATATGCTCATAGGTAAAATTTTGTACCTAACACATGCGGAAAGTGCCTTTACCGCCCTTAACGGCTTGACCGAACTCCGCTCCGCGTCGTTCGGTCAACTGCCGTTGCGTGCGGTAAAGTATCACTTTCCGCATTTGTTAAGTAAATAACTATTCTACAATTTTTTTTTCATCATATACTTATATCGCTGGCATCAGTGAACTTCAACACAAATATTGAGTTTCTAAACTCAAAAACAATTGAATGAAGCCGTGTATAATAACTGGGTTCGGTAATTGCATCTGCGAGCGAAATAAGCAAATTTTGACAGACGTCACCTGATCACTTATCTCTTTTCACGTGTCAAATCACGTGACATCTGTCAAATTTTGCTTACTTCGCTCGCAGATGCAATTACCGAACCCAGCTATTATACGCGGCTTCATTCAATTGTTGTCATAAAAAGTGTCACATTCAGAAGGATAAATATCCGAGTGTATTGATACGTATTTTTGCAAATTATATGGTATTTCATTCCCAAAAGCCATTTTAGAGCTGCGTGATCCCTTCGAATCACAAAATTACTTCCGACTTCCGTAGAGATACTCATGGAAATGGTCGCCTGCTTTTACTATGGCAAGCAATTCTCTTCTTGTGGCACAATAATTTCGTTCCGGCTTTAATAAAAATCTGCTGTAGTACTCTACGACATGCTTTTGTGAATTTTAGATTTGTGAAAGGACAGCTCTAATAGTTGTTGCTTGCATCTGAGTGCAAAATCAACATGTCCTGATCGGGATAGGACAACACTGGACTTGTACATAATGCTCGTTTTAATTTTCTAAATGCGGAATCGTATTCTTGGGTTCAATTGAATGTTGATTTTTCTTTCTTTAATCGTCCTAGAAAACTCCTTAGTTCATGTTTGTCGCGTGGTTTTGGTCCATCCCTGACAGCATCTATTTTTCCTTTCATAACTCATATGCCATCTTCAGATACCACGTGACCTGAGAGTTCCACATTCTTTTGAAATAGAAAACACTTGTTTGGATTGAGTTTTAAGTTGGCATTCTGGAAGCGATCAAACACTTGATTCAGGTTATTGAGATATTCTTGGAATGAATTTCCCATGATCATGACATTATATAAATATACCAGCCAAGTTTTTTATGTGAGGCCTCGCAAAACAAGATGCATCAGTCGCTCAAACCTAGCTGGAGCATTACACAATCCGAAAGACATCACGATTAACTGGTATAACCCGTTTCCGATACTGAAGGCAGTTTTCTCCTTGTCATCTTTGTATATTGCCACTTGCCAGTATCCACTCCTGAGATCCAAGGTGGAAAACCATTTGGAGCCCGATAGAGTTGTTAATGTATCATCTATTCTCGGGAGAGGGAAGCTCTCCTTCTTGGTGACCTCATAAGGCTTACGGTAGTCCACACGAATTCTAAGACTTCCATCTTTTTTTGTAACCAATACTACTGGCGCAGACCATGGAATATTCGACTCTTCAATAATTCCCTCTTGAAGCATTTTATCAATTTGGTTCTCCACTTCCCGTTGTTTAGCTACGGGCATACGTCAAGGTGGATGTCTAATTGGGTATGCCAATCTAGTATCAATTTTGTGTTGGATAAAACTGGTCCGTCCGGTTTGATTATCAATCACAGATACGTCTGCTTCTCTAAGTCTATCTGGATCGAGGCGTTTTCATGAAATCTTCAAAGTCTGCATCAATTTGTCTGTATCCAATTTCGGTTTCACAAAATGTCGTTTATCTGGGGGGGTTTATTTGAAATGTGCAATTCAAATACGTCTGACTAAGTCGCAATTTTTGCCGGTATTTCAATGCTAAAAAATGCGACTTAGTCGGACGAATTTGAATTGCACATTTCAAATAAACCCCCCCTGGTAGGTCACAGTTCGAAATTTGCTTAACTGGTTCGAGAGTTCCAATAATATCTCCTTTTTTTATTTTTACTGTTTAAGAAGAAATATTGGCAATTCTTATCCTAATGTCACCATTTATTCTTACTAGAGTCTTTCCAACAGAAATTTTTCTGGTTTATCTCGAATAAAATTATTTGTGAGTCCAACGCAGCACCCAGATCCAGGGCGCAAAAGTTTTTCGTACCTATCAACCGATGATCTGGCATGTTCCACTTCCGCTTTCTCTTGCCTATTTAGAACAGAAAAGTCAATTTTCGTGAGGTGGGGGGGAGTAAGAAAAAGTATTAGTATCAGGGGGGCTTTATTTGAAATGTGCAATTCAAAATCGTATCAGTAAGTGGCAATGTATGCGATGGTATACCGGCAAAAATTGCGACTTATTCACACGCATTTGAATTGCGGGAGAAATTATTATTGTGTATTTTATGTTGCGTTTTTGATGTTGTCCAAATCAGCTCATAACTTTTTACCAAGAAAACGCCGATAAGCCGATATTCAATTTACCTTTGTCATAGTTTCGTAATTTTATTGCGTCCTGTCAGTTTGGCAACATCGCACGGAAGCAACATTGTATGGTGCAACCAATATATGGAGCTGACAAGGTTGCTTTTTATGAGGACGCAACAGTGGTTTAAAAATATATAAAAATGTGTATATTTTAAATTTGAAGATACAAAAAAACTACATATAGCCCCATCTATCAAATTCATTGGTGAACCAGTATACGCCTTAAGATCCTAGATATCTCTTCGTTTTGCTGGAGACGCAACAATGTATGATTTTGTACGGACGCAATAATGTTTGAGGATGTATATATATATATATATATATATATAAAAGGTGAATACCTGCTTGTTTTTTCTTTTTGGAAATTTGTTTAGTCAAATATTTAGTTAGGTATAGCTTATATAATTTGAATTATTTATGTTTGGGCAAGAATATTATTGTTATTACTTATTGCACCGACTGAAACCTACAACTGTGAATTAAATTAATTAGTTTAGGACTTGTTACCAGTATGCCAATGTACTGTTTAAAGTTCAAAAATAAAGACTTGTTAAAAAAAAAAAAAAAAATAATAATAGCTATTTATATAACAAGTTTAAGTACCTACTTTATTGTACGGATAATTTTATGGCCGAGCGAGCTTGCGAGCGAGGCTATTAAGTAATGAGTCAATAAAGCCTGTTTATGTAAGCGTTATATACATGATTTTTTGTACGATTATGACTGGTTTTTGTTAAAAATTAAAAAAATTTAACGAAAAAAGTGAATGTATAACTGAAAAAAAAGGTCCTTGGATGGTTGACTACTGCCTTTCATAGAGAATCCATTCTCAGTTAAGATGATTACACAGACAAAACAACTATGGTTCTATAAACCATAAACCTTTTGAGTGTTATCTAATTAGTTAACTTAATAAGTTAGCTGCTTTGAACTATTTATTGATGATAGATTACCTAAAGTTTGTTTCGCCAGGGTTTGTACTTGCCACCAGCATTTGCCTTCCTTGTTAAACAAATCAAAATTGACTGAAACAAATCAATGACGTCAAAAACGTTCGTCGGTTCTTAAATCATTTTAATTTGTGAAAAAAATTGAATGTGTCATATGAATTAATCTACGACAACCCTTTTTTTTCAAGTTTCAAGGTCAAGTATGAACCCTGGTGAAACGGACCTTAGGTACTTTAAAAAAAATGGTGCCTGTTCAACCATATAGTTATAAAATTCAATAAACATCTACCCCTTGTCAGTCAACTGCCTTTATTGCTGGAGCAACCTAATGGCACAGCTTGTACTAATTCATGGAAACCACTGCACGCAGGTCTGCATTCGATTTTGTCTCAAAAATACCCCAACCCCTAATTTGATAAAAAAAACTTTGTTCGAATAAGTAGGTAATTCTGCTGAAACATCCAGGTAAATTTTTAATTTTCTGAATTTTTCCTAAAATCATTTTGTTTCATGATAACTGATCAGTTTTTATTGTAAAAATGTGGTGTGCATGGAAAGAGAGTGATTTTGCATCTATTATAACAACCTTAAACAATCTGATGAGAAAAACCATGGAAGACTCATAAAATAAACCTGCAGACTATTGAATAATTGACCATTTATATCACCTCTCAAATTTCATGGCATTGCCAACCGAAGGCTTTTGAGATACAAAAACAAAATAGAAAAATAAAGTTATTACTTTAATATGTATTTTTCACAACATTTATTTTTAAAACACTTCTTCTCTAATTTTCTACAAGTTTTTTTTTTTGTTTTTTAATATAAACCATAATTATACATTTTCCTCATGGATAATATAAATTATCAATATATATATATATATATATATATATATTATGGAACGTAATAATAAAAAAAAATTACTATAAATAATATTTTAGAATATAAATATGTATTTTTATTAAAGTTATTATGTTTATGTAGAAACCGTTTCTACAATCGACTTTTTGATAATTTCACCGAAATTCTCATCGCCTGTGTCCTTGGGACCATCTGAAGACGTTTCAATTGTAGTTTTTTCGGTGCCATCTTGAGTAGTCTCGTCAGTACTCAGTAGTGCGTAGCTATTTGATTCCTCGTAACCAGCATAATTGTAGCGATTATTTAACAGTAAATGATCGCAAAACGATTCTAACTTAGAATTGGCCCCAACTGTGTTCAGGTTAGTGTATTGACTTTCTTTCAGTGTTCCGGATGACAATGATGGTGGTGGTGACGATGTTGATGAAGAAGGGTAACTTTCATTGGTGGTGGTGAATTGGTCAAAATTGACAATGTTTGTTTGGGCTTGCTGAAAAGTACCTGTAATTAAAAAAAAATGCATTTAAAATATAAAGCCAAATAAGCTTTTAATAAATATGAAGGGTGAAATTAACAAGAAAGTGATTGATTGATTAAAGTTAAGTAAAGAAAAGTTGTTTATAGCTGAATAACTGAAATGTTCATTGTGAAGACAATAATGAGTAGGTAGATATTTTGCTGAACTTAGTCTTTTAGCTAATTCCATAATAATTGAAAATACTAGATTTATTCAGAAATGATAAAATAAACCTGCCCCCGGATTCTATTTTACAAGTCGAGTCTCGATATCGAATATGACAGCTCCGGACTTACAGTGTAATAGGTATTGATAAATCGGGAAATAGAATCGCTATTTTGATAATTCGATATGAATTTCGACTCGACTCGTAAAATAGAATCTGGCAGCTGGAAATTGAAGATATTGTCCAAGCTTGCAATAATCTAAGTGCACTGGCGCTTGTCTAGTTTCGACTGATTTGTATAAAACTTTTTTCTCATAGGGTAAATTTCAAATTAGGTATTGAAAGAGACCTCTCTATAGCCTAGACTCTGTTACATTAATGTTTATTCGCATCCGCCCTACCTGCTTAAATCTTGTTCGATTATTGATTTAAAAAGAAAAAAAAAAATCTTACCGTATATTCCTGAATATGGATTGAATGTAGCTGTGGGAGTGGAGGCAGCATTTGAAAAATCGCCGAATCCTCCCGAATGAAAATGTGGATATTGATTCACCGTGGCATTGGTGGAGTTTGCGCCATACAGGTTTGTAGATGTGGAAGCGGAGGGTGGTGTCGTTGCGCCTGATCCAGAGGAGGACGTCGCGTTCACCTCTGGAAAACGTGGATCGAACGTAAACGCTTGGTGATTGTTCGCTGGAGATGAAGAAAACAACGATTGTTGCTATAATAGAGAGGAAGGAGAATTTTATTAATATACATAATTATATCTTCTCGCGAATAGAAATATCGTTTTTTGAAGAATTTTCGATAATAATAGAAATTATCAATTAAAAAAATATCGTCAGCTTTAATAAATAATTCTACTGAGAGCCTTTGGAGTAGGTATATCTGTTCTTTTATGATTATCTAAAAGTAAATACCGTTAGTCTACAAATGCAGTAATGGTAATTTGCTAGAAGCTGGTGCATATATCCCGTGCTTTTGTGAGTGTCAAACAAACCCAGTTAAAACTCTATAGGATATTTTTTATTTTGTCAAAATTGTCAACTTTCAGAAGCTCTGCTATACTAAGGTGTGTACCACCAATATTACATAGAATAGAAACTTGAAACTTGAATATAGTTTTTGTGTAGCTTTTGACGTTATAACCATTGTAAAACGATGTTGCCAAAGTTATGAATAAAAAACTTGGGCAACAATTTTAATTTTAATGGCAATGTTACACCATGAGATTTATTCTATTTCGAAGATGATTTGACAAATTTTAAATTTAACTAGGATGGTTTCTTTAATAATAATACTAGTGATTAGATAGATAAACAGAGTTTCAAGCAAAAAAAAAAAATTGTTTCAGTTAAGAGTTATGTTTTAAGGTGATTCAGAAATTTTAGTGTGTAAAATAAAGGCCTTTTCAAAATACTCAATAACTTTTTTATTTTTCAAGATATTTTTGTGATTTTTGCACGAAAATGTTGGAAATTTCATGTTAAAGAAAAATTTGACCAAAACTGGTCTAACTTTGCCTTTTTTAGCCAGTTATATGGCATGGCAATATTACCCCAATCCTGGGGTAACTTTGCCAACTTTTAGGCCAAAAAAAATAAATATAATACATTATTATAGGGCCTTGAAAAAATAACTGAATATGGAAAACATGCCTAAAGGACATGGCACTAAATATTAGAATCCTGGTGATCGGCCAATTTTTTTAAAACTGTGGTATGTTATTCTATCTATAGGTACCTGGAAACAAGCATTTCTGCTTATGGTCAGTTCTTTGTACGAGTATAGGATGTCCCAGAAAATTGAGTTCAAAGTTTGTATATGAAATATTTTCTTTGAAGCATAAACTTATGTTTAACCGTTGTTTAACTGATCTGTTATGTGATTTTACAACTTATACATTAAAGACAAAGCTATTTATGTAGTTGAGGACAAAAATTATTATACAGGGTGTCTCAAAAATTATATTTTAAACTAAACTACTCTCTAAAGTCTAAAGAAAGCCAATAACTAAAACAACTGCTACAAAACTATAATAACCTAAAATATCAATAATCAGGCTTATGATGTATTCTGTCCTGTTATTTTAACGGCTGTGTTAAGGCTCAACATCTATTTGTATCTCATTTTTGACGTATAGAATAAACAGTGACAGATAACTTAACGTTGCTGTTGAAATAACAGAAAATGATACATCATAGGCCTGAATAACTACAAACATTGTAACAATGATCACTAGAGACTATTTGAAGTAGCTGTTGTTCCTCGGAAACAATTTGGATTTAATACTGTAGAAATAGATCAATAAATACAAAAATATGCCATATAGGCCTTGTGGTAACCTGCACTGGCTATCGGACTCATATTTGCGGGTTGACTACATGGAATATTCTAAAGCTTGACCGGAGGTTTTGGCATAACCACACATTATGAAACAGATATATTGTAGGTTACCAGTGTCTTGTGTTTACCGTTGGGTTAGGTACCACTGTTTGTGAAACTGGGTCTAACTGTGTTGTTAATACAACAGACCAATACATATTCAAAATCACTAAACCGATACATCAAACATTTGATATAAACTTTTGAACTCAATTTTTTTTTAACCGTTATTTTGGTTATTGGCTTTCTTCAGGGTGTAGTTTGGTTTAAAATAAAATTGTTGAGACACCCTGTATAATAATTTTTGTTCTTAACTACATAAATATCTTTGTCTTTAATGTATAAGTTGCAAAAATACATAACAGATTAGATAAACATAATTTATGCTTCATACAAAATATTCCATATAAAAACTTTGGACTTAATTTTCTGGGACATCCCATACTTCTACAAAAAAGTGACCATAAGCAAAAATGCTTGTTTTCAGGTATAGAATAACATACTTCAGTTTTAAAAAAATCGACCGATCACCAGGATTCTAATATTTAGTGCCATGTCCTTTGACATATATTATACACCAGGCACTACAGCTGAAGTATTTCATGTTATCAATGAAAAACCCCCAAAAGCTGGCAAAGTCACCCCAATTTACGGTATCGATTTAAAAATCATTAGAACATTCCAGAACTTGTAGGTGACCTGAAATTAGAGGAAACTAATTAAATAGGTTCAGTTTTAACAAAAGTAATGGACACTTTACTCAACTATATGATGTGGTTAGAGAACACTCTCTTTCAAGTCAGCTCAAAAAGTTTACAAAAAACTCAAATTTCAATGGTCGAATATATTGCAAACAAAGAGGAAGATCCTCATTTTCATTTATCTAGGTACAGAATTTTTTTATGGAAACACGATGCGTCTCTCAATATACTGCCACTTAAATAATTTCTAGAGAAAAACCATGGTCGATATCGATTGGAGAATCGGGTGACATTCGATAGAACCAATAGCGCTGATTTAAATCTGTGCGTTTTACATGGAAAAATTGTTACATTAAAAATTGTGGTATTGGAAAATTGTCTATTTTTCACGATAAGGTATTTCTTGGACGAGCCTAATCCAAAACGACACAAAAAGGCAAAACGCACTTCCCCTTCTTGGGTTTTTTTATGTGTTAAAAATCGAGGTATCCACGATGAGCAGTAAGTATTTTATAATTGAAAAATTTGTTTTTCATATTTTTTATTAATTTTTATACAGATAGATTGGGAAAATCGCTCCTTTGGAGCATATTCTAAATTCTACAGATTTCATGAAATCCTCTAGAAATGGGCTTTTAATCAACATTTTACCTGAAAAACTATTCACAAGAAGCGTTGAGAAATCTTTCAGCTAGCACTGTATAAAAGTTATTTCCAGGCAAAAATAATAGCACCTTACTAAACTAAAATCACTACAAACCTGTTTTCTCTCGTTTTCCTCCCCATAACAGTTTTCACGAAAACTGTAAAGATCCAACGAATCTTCGCGAGCAGGTAATTCGGCAAACGCTGTAGGTGGTCCATCGCTGGCTACTCCATAATGTAGATTAGTGAAGCTACCATTATTTACACAATTTTCTACTTCAATGTGCGCACCAAGGGTAATATCTCTTAATAAACTACCGGTACATTTATTTACATCTATTTTACATTGGTTTTGTACCAAGCGTTCGTTATTCATCCAGGCCAGGTCTTTATTCTTTTCCTGCATATCCTCTTGTTTCTTCTCCAATTCCAACCTCATTAAAGTATGAATAAAATGGGTCCGCACCCTGACGGGATTAAACTCTATTCTGCCTGAAGAATTGCCACAATTATCCCTAGTACAGCCACATGGAAAGTTCAACCTGTCAACTTGGCATTTGATACCGGCCTGACCACAGGAACACGTATCCGGATCGCAGTAGCCCTTGCAGCCGCAGCCACAAAATTCTCTGGACAACCTGATGTCTCGGCATTCATCTTTTTCTAATGCGTCGATTTTTCTGACTCCTGCGGATCGTAACAGGGCGCGTCTCTGCCTTGTCGGAACTGGTTGTAGGAAATAGTAGTTGTCCAAATCCATTTCGGACTCTGAAGCATCACTTATTTCTTCTTCGCTTTCGCTATCGTCACTGGATGATGCTACTGTTCCGTTGGTAACATTTCGCTCAATTCTAGAAAAAAATTGTATGTTTTATTATTTAAAATTGAAGAGAATGAGTGTCAAATTAATTTTTATTCCATAATTTCTATGAGTTTTCTTCTATTATGATAAAGAAACGTTGATTGGATAAAAAGAGTCATTCAACAAAGGCAGCGGCGTAACTTCAAATCCGGGGTTCCCCCGCAAGGATTTTCCCGGGGCCCCATCTTTTATGTATTTTTTTTTCTTTCTAATTTTGCTTTATATAGGGTGTTCGTTTTAAGTGATACCACTATTGCTATCTCCGAACCGGTGAGAGGGACGAAGTAGGTTAAATTAGATAAAAGTGGCAGATTTTAGTATCCATTGAAGGTAAGTACACAGGGTTGCCAAGTTTTTATTCGTTTCCGAGATATAAGGGAAAATGTAAAAAAAATTTAAACCTATTTAATGAATATTTCAAAATCTATTAACTTTAGAAAAAAGTGTTCATAGAAAAGATTCAAGATTCTTTTTTCTCTACAAAATGCGGTATCATGTTATGTTATCTTCACACGGCTCGAAACAAACTTATAAATAAGCTAATGGCATGGCCAAAAACTTAACTACCTATATACAGGTTTGACCAGGTCAACATTAGGCCAATTTTAATGCAATAGAATGAAATGTCTAGAAAAACTCTAAGGTTGAATAGAGAACGAAAGATAACGATTTCCCCTGTTCTACCTCCAGCATTCCCAGTGCTTTTTAGCCACCTTGTTGTTGTCTCCCTCCGCTTCGCGACGGGAGGCAGACCACATCTCGCTCTAAAATCTAATACTTTTTTCCCTTGTATAATGAATAACTATTATTGATGGGATGTTCCATCTTTTGGTGTTAAAGTTGCTCAATATATTGGAATATAGAATATCATCCATAACTCTTTGGAATGTAGCCGGCGCGTTCTTCAAAACAAAGGGCATGCGCAAGAACTTATAATGCCCGTTTTCTGTGTTGAATGCGTTTTTTTCGATGTCGTTGTCTAGATCTGGTGGAAGCCGCTAGCTAAATCTAAGGCAGTGAAATACTGCCAGCGTCCCAGCCTCTTCTTTATAGCACAAACAACAAAAACATAAAACACACAGGTTTGATATAAAAATAAATAGTTAGGAATGTTAGGATCAGGAACTCAATATTTTTGTACCTACTCACTACACCCACTACATACAATGCCAAAATCACTATGGGGGCTCCGCCCCCATAGCAAATTCACAACGGGGGCTCAAGCCCCATTGCCCCCATGGTTCCGGCGCCTATGTGTCTAAACATTTCTCTCTGAGATCTCTTACATTGGTTAGACATACTTTTTCAATGGTTTTCATGTATTATGAGGTTCACGGCCCCCCACGCAACTGCGGGCCCTTAGTTACGCCACTGAACAAAGGGTCAGCCAGGAGGAAATTACCTAAAAAGTTCTTACCTTCAACCAAGGACTGCAGAGGAACTTGGAGGAATCTTAAGGAAGTTTGTGAAAATATGGCAAGTCTGACGAGTTACTGAGGTCTGGGAGGAATCCCAGGAACTATAGGGAATTACTGAGTAAATCTAAGGAATTTCCCAGGGGCATATTTATCAACTAAATGAAAAACTTTCTAGGTAAAATTTGGGAGGTTGTTTTCTCCTCGGGTTTAGATAATCAGAACTGATGCATGCCCTACCTACAGAATCTCTCTTACAAATTTTAGAAAATTTTAATAAACATTGAATTGAACCACCTATGTCTAAATGTCTAACCAGATTTTGTTGAAACTTTAAATTTTTGCCTGATAAAAAATAAAAACTGTTTGTGGAACGATCAGTTGATTACCCTCCTGGGTTTTCAGATATACCTTCTAACCCTTTTGGAATTTATTTCTTCTACTACCGTGCGTAAAGTACTTACTTCACGCACTCTTCAAGAGACGTAAAATTTTCTTTCGCGCACTAGTGCGTAAGGCAATTCACTTTACACCTAGTTTTTGCTGCCCTTTTTTGCATTGACAATGTGATATTTACTTTACACCTTAGATTTGAGTGAGTTACTTTATACACTAGGGCGTAGAGTTGTGATTTATTTTTAAAAATTTGTGGCTGTATATTGTCAGTAGTAGAAGAGTTTTTGGATGTAACATGTGTTTAAAGCCCCTTTTTTCACTCATGTGATTGTTATTGTCCTTGTCAAATTTACATTCGTGAAAAAAGGTTCACTTTATACACTTGTTGCATAAATAGCTATTATGAAAAAAAATTAATAAAATTGAAACAACCTAATTCTTCTCATCATGACGTTTTTATGTACAGGGTGAGTCACCATATTTTGACACCCACCTGCAGCCGTAATTACAGGTGATAGGTGAACGGTGTAAATACAAAAGTTGTAGTATTTCATCTGAACCGCCAGAATTTTTAATTAGATTGTACAAATGAGCAACAAAAAGTGAAAAAATATGTCAATGTTCGCTTTTTTCAACTGGAATGCCCTTTATTTTCTTTCAAATTCTTAAAGTTCTCGTTTTTTTGATTCAGATTATATAATATGTTAGTGTTTCTTTCGATAGTTTTGGAAATATCTGGAGTTTAGTTATTCAAAGAGAGTAGTTTTTTGAATAAATTTCACCTTGATTTACCTGTAACCTGTTGCAAAACATTGTGATACGTGAATAGATCTTTGAATAACTAAACTCCAGATATTTCTAAAATTATGGAAAGAAACATCAACATATTATATAATCTGAATCAGAAAAACGAGAACTTTGAGAATTTGAAAGAAAATAAAGTGCATTCCATTTAAAAAAAGTGAACATTGACATATTTTTCCACTTTGTCTTGATCATTTGTTCCATCTAATTAAAAATTCTGGCGGTTCAGATAAAAAGCTACAACTTTTGTATTTACACTTTTTACCTATCACCTGTAATTACGGCTGCAGATGGGTGTCAAAATATAGTGACTCACCCTGTACAGAGTGCTTCAAATTCGAGCCACATCAATGGAATCTTGGAAACGGTCAGGGATACAGGGTTAGTTAAATGTGGGCCAAGTTGCGTAATTTGATGCTTAACAAAATGCGGCTTTGATACCTATTTAGGATATTCCGAATACTTTCAGAGATATCCGGAAAAAAACTGAAATTTTGCAAAATTGTTTTTCTGACTTTATTTGAAGTGATTTTTCAAGAAAAAATATCACTTCATCATAGTCACATTTTCTCCCCTACAAGATGCTACCCTCAAATTTACAATCTGACGTTTCGTCTTTCGGCCACCATCGTCAACTTCATTTCATCAAATTACGCAACTTTGCCCTAATTTAACCAACCCTGTATCTCTCACTGTTTCCGAGATGCCAATGATGTTTCTCGAATTTGAAACAACCTGTACCTAGCTAATTTAGATGAAAAAAAATCTGTAACAAATTTTAGGTGTAGTTCTGTTTTGTATGAAATACATTAAAGTAGACAGCTGAACATGCAACTTTTATCCTGATCAATAAATGACAAATGGTTACATGTTTAGTCGTCAAAACACCCTTGATATCAGACCGAACACCGAACCAATCATCAACTAGTCTGATTATGCTCAGATATAGCAAAACATGAAACCATTTCACATGCTAATTGAACTTTCTGACAAATATTTAAACCAAGGATGCTTTTCGCAAGTTTGTTACTTAATTCTTACTTTATTTGTTGCAAAAGTTGTCGATGTATTCTACGTTGTTCAATGGCATGTTCCACAATGGAAAACTTCCGGACTTGCGAGTGTTGAGCAGTCATTCCCAAAGTAGAACCACCTTGAGACGGTACGCAAGTGAAACCTTGGGTCCTAGGAAAATAGAAAACCGTTACGCTGTCAAAAGTGATGTTCCGTTTTTTCTTCACTTTAGCTGGTGTAGCCTCTTCTTCATCTTCTAGAGGTCGTTTTCTTTTGAGGCTACTTTTAGTAGGCTTTTTTGTTAAATTGGAAATTAGTGTACTTAGGAGAACTGGGAAATCAGGACTGGGTTCTTGTGTGTTATCGGTGGTTGTACTTGAAGAAGCTTCATTTATACGATCTAAAATAAATTGAATTAATCACTAGCAATTTATCAGAATTGAAATCTTACCAATAAATAGAGTTTCATTATCACTTCCTCCATTAGTCTGTATATCAGTGCGTTCTTCAGCGATTTCTGAACCCAATCCCGAGTCGGAACCATCTGATCTATCATGTGGTTCCTCATTAAGCTCCTCTGTAGTAGGTAAACTTTCTGTAGCCGAGTCTTCTCCATCATTCAAAGACGCCACCACATCCTTTTGATTCGTATCAAAATTATTATCACACATTTTTGAGTTTTCAACAGAGGGAGATTTAGAAATTGACCTAGTTATTAGTCCTGATAGCTGACTATGAGATTGCGTAGCTCCCATTTTGTATTAGGTTTAGGTAGGCTGTGTTTATTGCAGGCCATTTTAATCTGAAAAAAATAAGAACTGATTTTAATTTTATAATACTTGATAAATATACAATACACAAGAAATAGATTTGTGTAGGTACAGTTATACATTTAATCTTTACAAGTGAGTGAAATCTAACTTCAGGATATGTACAAAAATAATAGTTAAATGCATAATTTACAAAAACATACACATACGTACAAAAAAGCCATAAAAAGGAAGAAAAAAGAAAACAGGAAGTTGACAAATGTCAATAAAAAAAACGACAATACAATAATTATCAATATCCGTGGTGATACACCTTTATGTTTTAATACCATGGTATTTGTGTGTCATTCAAGATTGTGTTATTAATTATTTGTCAAGTTTATACTATGCCTAATTTTGTCGATTAAAGCCTTACTTCTGGGATATATTTGCATTACTACATTTTAATCGACATTATGGACAAGCTCCTGACACATGAAAGGTTTGATACTGATCTCAGCTCATCAAATGCAGCGAAGGAATGGTGTCACTTGAAAACTACATTCCAGAACTTCATGTCGTCAGTGAAGGATGTAGAGGAAGCACAAAAGCTGCAGCTGCTCACAAACTATGTAAGTCACAACTTGTTCGAATACGTTTCTCAAGCAAAAACCTACGCTGATGCTGTGAGTAGCTTAGATAACATCTATATAAAACCACAAAATTGCAAGACATATTTTTTCTACGAGGAAACAGCAACATATGGAGAAAACATGTACCTACATTCAAATTTTGAATCAGTTCAGCAAAGATTGTAACTTCAAAAACGTAACTGCCAAAGAACATCGCGAACTTTCCATTGGAGATGCATTCATTAGCGGCTTATTGTCGAATGAAATTCGTCAACGCCTCTTGGAAAAAAGTAATCTAACTTTAGATGAAGCAACATCACAAGCTTTATCTCTTGAATCTACTCAAAAACATTCTGAGGTAGGTATACCAAACAGCTTCAACAAGTTTTATGAATTCTAATAAACCGGAAAATCCTCGAGTGTAGCAACAAAGATACACTGTTTTGAGTGCTACCGAGAAATTTTCTATATGCTATTATTGTGGAAATAGGAGACATGATTGCTCTCTTTGTCATGCCCTGCAAAGTAATTTACCTACTGTTTGCCGAAGTTCAAAACATGGCACAACTGCATCTATTCTGTCTCAAACATTGGCTTCTGTCTTCTGTTCCTGGAAGTATATCAAAAACTGCGGTGCCAGTAGAAATCAATCAGTTATCGGCAGATGCGTTAATAGATACTGGCAGCTCTGAGACTTTTTTTGAATGAGTCATTTGTTTCATCCAATAATCTCCCGATTCAACCAAGTAAAGGCTACATGTCTATGGCTCAAACTTCTCTGCGTGCACAAAGCAAAGGATTCTGTGTTGTCACCCTCAACATTCTCTATCATCAGTATGCAAACGTAAAAGTTTCAGTTCTACCAGACCTCTGTGCTGATATTATCGTTGGCCATGACTCATGACATTTTTAAGCAACATAAAATGTTGAATGTTTATTTTAGAGGACGAAAATCTGCCATGACTGTACTTGAAACAAAGCACTGTTCTCTAGTTCCTGCTAAAATTAAACCTTCACAATTATTCGCTAATCTATCATCGCAATGTGAACCAATCGCTACAAAATCGAGAAAATTTTCACATGATGATGCCAAATTTATTTCAAGTAAAGTATAGTTTGGCAAGTGGTAACTTGGTAGAGACGAAAGGGGGAAGAAAAAGTGGGGCGTAACCTAAGAATATTCACTGACACCTCAACTGACACCGCCTCATGACAACCATGACTTTGGGTTCAGTGGCACCGAAAACATCAAGGAAATAAACCAAAAAATTATTAGGAAAAAAATTTTGAATTTCACGAATAACCACGCCACTGGTGCTGTCGTTCAGACTCTAACCAATAGAATCATGTCTCTGAATAATCACGCCTCTCCGCTTCCTTCATTTCGTAATGTTGCCGGATTTTTTCCTACTTCAAAATACTACACGGCCCATATTGTAAAAAAAAATATGTCACCAACTTGTTTATTATTGTTTCTGTCAAGTTTGGCATAGCAGCAAATTCTTTTTGAGTTCGCCGTTTGGCTAGCCCAGACTATACAATAACGCTTCTTTTAGAAGGTATCTTTGAAAAAAGTACGTAAAAAGAGAGTGATTGCTGACTATTCTCAAACAATCAACAAGCTTACTTATCTTGACGCTTATCCCTTACCCAATATCGAAGGATTGGTAAGAGCAGTCTGAAAGTGCGTATCACCAGTTCCCTATGAGATTATGAAAAACAGTTCACTGCTTTTGAAGCTGATGGAAACCTGTACCAGTTTAATCGTATCCCTTTTGGTGTGACTAACGGCGTAGCTTGTTTTCAAAGAGTCTTAGATACAATAATCAGACAAGAGAATCAAGAAGAACACGATTAGAATCTATCAGCTTTTCTGACAGCTGTTGAAAAGTACAACCTAACTATAAGTAAAAGTAAAAGTTCGTTGAACAAAAAGACAATTAAACTACTGAGATGTCTTATAGGAAACAAAATACTTAAACCTGATCCTGCAAGACTTGAACCTCTACAGAATTTGCCAGTACCAACTGGTAAAGCTTCACTTCAAAGAGCTGTGGGCATGTTTGCTCATTACTCATTCCTCTTAATGGATACCTAGACTCTCCAAGAAAATTCATAGAATTGTTAGTAGGTACCAGAAACTTTCCTATGCAAGAACCTTCTATTACCGATTTTCACAACTTGAAAACTGAAGTCGCAAAATCAGCTGTAACTGTCACTGTCATCAGGGGCGGATGGGGCTCCTCAGACCGGCGCGGGAAGTCGATTGAAACCGCACCATGCCTGTCCAGCAAAAAAAAATTGAAAAGCACAAGCGAAGCGATCGACTTCTGCGCATACCCTTCTGTTGAGTTGAATAAAAACAAGACGACGAAATTACTCTATTTGCCGAAAATCGGAGCCGCGCCGCTCGAAGGTCTGTTCTCACAGAAATCACATATCAGTCACAGCGTTTTTGATTGGTGCAAATCGCCAAAAACCAGTTTTCTGACTATTTTCAACCAATGAAATTCGTTCTGACTCTGACTGGTTTATGGTTTATGTGAGAACAGACCTAGTGTCTTGTTGCCCGTCTTTTTCTACTCCATTATGCATGCAATCTGGAATAATAAAAAAAGGCAAACGAACGCAAAGATACCTCAAAACGGAACATAGCAAGCATTGCAACGTGCCATGAAACATTTAGGGTAGGTTACTCAATAGCGAGTCACCTCCGGGTTGGTTTTAGCAGCAGGGTAAACGTGTCCAGTTGTAATGGACAGTTATGCTTAAACCGGGGGTGACTTGCTATTGAGAAACCGGCCCTTAGGAATGGTATGGGCGATTACGGCATCGACATGCATACTTATGATTTACAGAGTTCCAGAGTTGCAAAGTTGCTAACTGCTTTTTCAATCATTCCGAACTTCCCGCGGCCACGCCAATCGGCGCCTGAAGGACCGGCGCACCGGGAAATCTCCCGGCGTCCCGGTGGGCCCATCCGCCCCTGACTGTCATTGAAGAAAACATTCCATTTGTGGTGGAAACAGACAAGCAGCAATTCTAAGTTAGTCTCAACGACCTGTTGCGTTTTTCTCAAAAACTCTATCATATAGTGAACAAAACCACTTAGCAGTTGAAAAAGAAGCACAAGCAATTGTAGAAGTTCTGAAGATACGGTGTCACTTATTTCTTATTGGAAGGCATTTCAAGTTGATTACAGATCAAATATCGGTGTTATTCATGTTCAACATAAAGCATGACAACGCTGGAGACTCAAATATTTATGCTATTCATATGACATAGTCTACCGTCCAGGAAATGAGAATATCGTAGCCGATACTTTTTCTTGGGTATGTGGGGCTTCAACTGAGAATAAATTGTACGAGTTACATGATGCACTTTGTCATCCTGGAATAACTAGAATGTTTCAGTGGATACGATCACAAAATTTACCTTTTTCCATAGACGATGTACGAAAAATAACCGCAGCCTACACTATTTGTAGAGAATTCGGGCCGACGTTCAGTAAAAATTGAGGAATACTAATACTATTTGAAAAGCTCAACATTGATTTGAAAGATCCTCTTCCAATATCCTTAACAAATCGTTACCTATTAACAATTGTAGATGAATTCTCAAGATTCCCTTTCGTTTACGCATGCCCTGATATGACTGCAGGGAATGTGATTGAATTTTTCACAAATCTATTTTCAATATTTGGAATGCCCTCGTACATACATTCTGATCGAGGAAGATCTTTCATGTCAAAAGAATATCTTCATTCAAAAGGTATAGCCACTAGCAGCACGACTGCTTATAATCGAGAAGGCAATGGTCAAGTAGAAAGATTTAATGGTACAATATGGAAAACAATTTCGCTCGCACTTAAGTCTCGTGATCTGAATACAGAACAATGGGAGAGGATGCATTGCATTCTATTCCTTCCTGGCTTTCAAGTCGCCCTGTTTTGATGAAAAAGAATGTTAGGAAAAGTAAATACGACCCGTTTGTGGAGGAGGTGTACTTACTGGAAGCAAACCCAGATTATACGTTTGTTCGTTTTCCCGATGGCAGAGAAGATACTGTCAATCTTACACATCTAGCACCACGTGGAAGTGCACCTGAATTTGATGACGATGATGATAGTGAAAATCCTTTTCAATCTTGTAACGAACCAAAACAAGAAAACTTCTATAAACAAGACGCACAAACAAAACACCTGATAATCAGAATGATGATCCGGAAGAAAATCCACATTTGAATACATCCGGAAATAATTTCATATTAAGCTAAGTCCTCATAATCGCGAATTGTGAACTTTTTTTCTCCGGAATTGTTCATTTTAGTCCAAATTATTTGAAATTATAATGGCGGGAAGTCTCTTAAATGTTTTCAGCTTCTTGCGTCATCGCAAAAAAGTTAAAATAATTCAACTTTTT